GGAATTTTGGTTTTGAAGTCTAGAGGATTCTTTACAGAACAACGTTGGTATTGGATAGGAGTTGGGGGCCTGATTGGATTTATAATATTATTCAACTTGGCTTATGTCTTGGCCCTCACTTATCTCGACTGTGAGTACCTTACTTTGAATTAATAAATTGAAATGTGAGAGCTCATGTTTTCACATTGTTCAAATAATTGTACAGCTTATGACAAGGCTCAGAGTAGTCAATTGGACGAATCTCAAGAAAATGAACAAGCTCAAAAAACTGCAAATGAAGGGAACAAAGCTAGCGCTGAGATAAACTCCAGTAAGAAAAAAGGAATGACTCTTCCATTTCAACAACAATCTCTCACCTTTAATGACATTGTGTACTCTGTTGACATGCCACCGGTAATTAACAAATTTTCATGTTTACGATTCAGATAGCAAGTTGTTTTTACTTTTAAAATAGCACATTTACAAAACACAGTTGGTTTAATTGAACTTGCAGGAAATGAAGAATCAGGGTGTCAGTGAGGATAAGCTGGTGCTTTTGAAGGGTGTGAGCGGTGCTTTCAGGCCTGGCGTCCTCACCGCTTTGATGGGTGTCAGTGGTGCTGGTAAAACTACTCTCATGGATGTGCTAGCTGGTAGGAAAACTGGGGGTTATATTGACGGTGACATCAAAATTTCTGGATATCCCAAAAAGCAAGAAACCTTTGCTCGTATTTCAGGATACTGTGAACAAAATGACATCCATTCTCCTCATGTTACTGTCTATGAGTCTTTGCTTTTTTCTGCTTGGCTCCGCCTACCCTCTGAAGTCAATTCTACAACAAGAAAGGTTGCATTCTGGAAACCTCGTCCTTGCTCTTTTATCCAGCTAATAAAGGATGGTTTTATAACTTTGACTAAAAGTTCTAGTGTTCAAAAGCTATAGCAATTCTAAATTTTAACTGATGGCAGATGTTTGTGGAGGAGGTGATGGAGCTTGTGGAACTAAAACCTTTGCGGAAAGCGCTAGTTGGCTTGCCAGGTGTGAATGGTCTCTCGACTGAGCAACGGAAGAGGCTCACCATTGCTGTTGAACTAGTGGCAAACCCTTCCATAATATTCATGGACGAGCCAACTTCGGGGCTAGATGCTAGAGCTGCTGCAATTGTCATGAGAACAGTTAGGAACACAGTGGACACTGGAAGAACAGTTGTCTGCACCATTCATCAGCCAAGCATCGACATATTTGAATCTTTTGATGAGGTGAGAAATGTTGGTACATCACTAATACTAAAGCTATATGTTCGCACAATTATCTGACAGTAATACATTCAACAAAATGTTCCAGTTATTGTTGATGAAGCGTGGAGGAGAAGAAATATATGTAGGGCCTTTAGGTCACCATTCTTGTGATTTGATCAAGTATTTTGAGGTATGTGATAACGATAATCTGCAGTGGAACAACGCGTTTTAGTTTTAATCTACATGCTTTTAGTGACGTAGATGATGCATTATGTCTAGGACATTGAAGGAGTCAGTAAAATTAAAGGTGATTACAACCCTGCAACTTGGATGTTGGAAGTTAGCTCTTATGCACAAGAACAAGCTTTGGGAGTTGATTTCTCCAAAGTGTACAAAAATTCTGAACTGTATCGGTAGGTATTATCGTAAATGCATCATCAGACTTTATGGCATAAAACACATCTTACTGTTTGAAATTCTGTATTTATCTTAGCCTTCATGGTAATGCAATTGAAATATAGTAATGAAGTAGTACAACTGTCCGGCGTGTGTCTCAGGAGAAACAAAGAACTTATTAGGCAACTGAGCACGCCTCCTCCCGATTGCAGCGATCTCCATTTCCCTTCTCAATACTCTCAATCATTTTATGCTCAATGCATAGCATGCTTTTGGAAACAAAGATTGTCATATTGGCGCAATCCACCATACACTGCTGTAAGATTTTTGTTCACAGCTATCATAGCCATCATGTTTGGCACAATGTTCTGGGACCTGGGCTCCAAAACGTAAGCTGCATCTATCGTTTATCAACAAAAGTTCAACCTCTTGTAATTCCAATCAACATATAAACACATTTCCATCCTCCCCATTGTAGGAAAAAGCAGCAAGACCTGTTTAATGCAATGGGCTGTATGTATTGTGCTGTTCAATTCATTGGAATCCAAAATGCTGGTAGTGTGCAGCCAGTCGTTTCAGTTGAACGAACGGTTTTCTACAGAGAAAAAGCTGCTGGAATGTATTCACCCTTAGCGTATGCCTTTGCACAGGTAGTCGATTTACACAATTTTCATAATTCTTCTACAATGAGTTAATATTTTATGTAAGCAACTTCAATGTTCTATGCAGATTATAATTGAGCTCCCGTACATTTTTATCCAAACTCTGGTTTACGCTGTCATCGTGTACTCCATGATGGGACATCAATGGACTGCTGCTAAATTCTTTTGGTATTTGTTCTTCATGTACTTCACATTGTTATATTTCACCTTTTATGGGATGATGGCCGTGGCTGTGACGCCAAATTTCCACATTGCTACTATAATTTCCTCCGCATTTTATGGAGTGTGGAACCTCTTTTCCGGATTTATTGTCCCGCGAACTGTAAGTATTGTTTTCAAATGCCACCTTTATTTTGGTCATTTCGCGCATAGACACTAATGGAAGTGTTACTTTGTACTTTCTGGTTCGTAACAGAGAATGCCCGTGTGGTGGAGATGGTACTATTATATATGTCCAGTTTCTTGGACCTTATATGGACTAGTTATATCACAGTATGGAGATATGGACGACATGCTTGACAATGGTGTAACAGTTAAACAGTTTTTGAAAAGTTATTTCGGCTTCGAACACAAGTTTCTAGGACCAGTTGCAGGTATTGTTACAGCGTTTGTTATTCTCTTCGGACTTATTTTTGCCGTTTCCATCAAGGTTTTCAATTTCCAGAAGAGATAGAAATTTATTTACGTTGGATGTCACTGAACTCGTAGATACGATGAAAGTTATCATCAATCTGTAATTTTGCATACCATTTGTAGCATGTATACCTTCGAAATATAAATGGTATTATCAGTTTGTGCATCTTGTATTACCACTGATCTCATTCTTGTACGAAGTATTTACCAAAGCACGAGGTTTTGCAGTTCTTGGATTGGCTCGATTTCTTGCATTACAAGATTTCTCTATCTCCAGGGTTTACTGCAAATTATGAAACTTCAAACCATTTGGATTATCTTCGCGTATCTTCACGGTTAAGATTGATTAAGGGAATTACGATGACTTGATATGTACCTTGTTTTAGTAATCTAAAATTGTTCTTCGCGAATAATACAAAGAAACATCTATCGATTTGAAAATTAAACGCCAGAATAGAGAAGGCAAAGATGAATCCGAAGAGCATTGTAACCCCAACACGCACTGCTGCAACAACTCCCACAAAATCATGTCTGAAACCAAAGTAATGTCTCAGGAATTGTTCACAGCTTGACGGCCATTACTGAGCACATCGTTCAGATCTCCAAACTGTGATGCGATCAATCCATACAAGGTCCAAGCCACCGACTGTGGGATGATGAATCCTGAAAAGAGGTTCCACGTTGAATAAAATGCAGAGGAAACAATCGCAGCAATATGATGGTTTGGCGTCACAGCCACAGTCATCATGCCGTAAAATGTGAAGTACAGCATTTTGTATCCCGAGGAAGAGAACGGCAGCATACAGAGAACCCATTTCATTGAACAAATCTTGTTGCCTTTTTCTGCATCAAATAACACAAAGCAAATTTGAACACAGGAAAAATGGAGAAAAAAGAAAGAAGAAGAAAAGGCTAATGAGTTTTTCCAACTCATTTCTTTATTTCCTTGTTCCAACTTACGTTTTGGAGCCGAGGTTCCAGAACATTGACCACAACATCAATGCTACGACAGTTGCCAAGAGAAATCTCACTGCATTGTATAAAGGTTGCGCCGATATGACCAATGTTGTTTCCATAAGCAAGCAATGGACTGGACGAGGAATGGTTGCGAGTATTGAGTAGGGAAATACAGGTCCCATGAAGAAGGAGCGGGTGTGCTGAATTCAAGTAATTATTTCCTGCAGAGAACGAACCATATAGAGGGAATTGCATGTCCATCTGAATTGGTATTGAAATTGTTCAAAACCATACCGCTTGGTTTATACCTCTTGATTAAGAGACACCACTTCGTATGAAACATGTCTCTTCAATTTGAATTGATATTCAAACTACTAGAACATGTTTCTAATATAATAGAAAGGTTAGGGAGCAGAGCTTGCTGTCTACTTCGCCAGCCTTCACTGTCCCGTTCTGTAACTTCCCTTCTTTCGTCCATCCCCGAGGCTGTAAAAAGAGAGAAAGGGGCGGCTATCCAACGGGAGACGTTTTGGTTGTATGCCACGAGATCCCTATGGACAAGGGGACAAGTGAATCATTGCTTTTTGGGTGCGGGCAGCCCTCTACCATCCATCCCATCGCATTCCATCGTATCATATTGTACTTAAGTGTTTTATGAGTTAGATATGGAGTATCAACCCTTAATACCAAAAGGACACAACTCCACCTTCGAAAAGGAGTGAGAATTTGAAATCTAAAGAGTAGACCGACCGATCGCCCTTGTCCAGGTGCACTGTTTTGTGCTTTAATGCCTAGGCCGACTCGTTAGCCAGAAAAGGCCGACCAGTCACCCGTGTCTGAAGTTCCAGACAGAGGCCACAGCCTTTATTTGACCGGTTGTTCGTTTTACCTCAAATGTAATCCAAAAAACAAGTCACAAGGTTGGTTAGTAACAAGTAACAACCATACCTTGAAGTCTACTGTATATTACATTGTCCTGAGTAATACAAATTAGGGTTTTGGTCTTGAGACAAAATGGTGAACGCGGCCGGCCTGGGTGAAGAAAAAATCGAACACCAAACTTCGAGTGCAAGAGTAGACGCTTTTAACAAAGAAAAAAAAGGCACACAGAATCTAAAGCAGCAGCACAAGACAGAACAGGTAAATTGGAGAATTTGTGTCTTATCATTATTCTTTTAGAAGCCAACATGAACATGCCAAAGTGAGAACAAACTTCAAAGTAACATCAACCGTGCATATATTTTTACAACACCACCTTTTTCTGTATGTAATCTTAAAGGGTTTTACACATTACGATTCTACTCACCATCATCATTCTCTTTCTCTTTCTCGTGTCTAGCATTACCATTGACACTCGAAACAAGCTCAGCTTCAAATGCCATGGAACTTGAAGGCAACCTCTCATACATTCTCGAACCCAAAGGAAGAAGCCTATATTGCCCCACGGTAAGAGTCTGGCTGATCCTCTCGTAACTCCACCTCTGCTGAGCATAGACTATACCTGCAAGTATGATTGCTGTAACCGGTATGGCAATATCCCCAAACTTGGAGTAAAAATCCATAGTCGGGTTGACAAGCTCGTAGTCCTCTGCAAAGTAAGGATTGAGAGCAGGAGCTCTAATATAATCATAAATGTGAGGGAAGATTCTGACCAATGTGATTGCAAAGAAATAGAACTTTCTGAGCGGTTTGCAATCCATCTGCCACACAAGGTTGCCAATGATTTGTGGGAGAAGGAAAAAATCTTGAACAAGACCGACATACTCCTCTAGCTCAGTTTCCCACTCCCACAGTGCATGAGAATTTGCTCTAGCTATTCTATAGCTTTTTGTCCGAATATATCTTCTGCTAGTTGTCATACTATGAATGATTAAAACAATGATATAGCCAATAAAATGTATTGCAAAGGTAGTCAGAAGCACCCGTTTATCACTAGGTACACGATGTGGCTCAAGAGGAGTTTGCGTAAGTAATCTGATTCGAGATTTCCACACCTTCTGACAAAGCCTTAAAGTGAGTAAAAGTGAAACCATCACCAGAAACTTTACCGTGTAATCAAGTATATGGAACCACTGATTGTTCTCAAGGTCATACGAAGATGTTGCATTGGAGTCGGAAGATATCCTCTTGAAGAGCGCTTCAGCATCAGTGACCAGAGGAATGCTGTACCCAATGGCTTGGATACCTAGCATGACCAGAGACATGTAAGGAACAGTATCCACATTATGCCTGATGTAAAACAGTTGGCTTAAAATGCCAGAAATTGCCAGGGAAAGAGTCAAAATCCGGAGGATTCCCTCAATGCCTCGACGAGAGAGGATGCTTTCCCGCTGTTTTCTGTACATAATTGGAAGAGTTCTGAGCTTGACTGTACTAAAGAAAAGGGGGTCATCTTCATTCCTTTGACTGGCTACGGAAATACTTGCTGTTGGATTGCCTAACCATAGAGATGTAGTGGGAGGATACGACACAACCACCTCAATTAAACAATCAAGCCCAGCCTCAAGATCCATGCTCTCATACAAGATCTTCCACGAGGCTCGAACATCCCTGCAGCCAACTAGATACATCTTTCCCACATGTGGGTCATAAAGACCCTCCAGAAAGAGAACTGAAAAATTGCTGAAACCTTTCCCAGTGATGGTGAGTTGTGCAGATATATTCATAAGGAGCTGCTTTTCAGTGTATTCAGCCTTCGTGTGGTAAGGAGTCCCCTCTTCTGCAGTTGAACTGTTTTGTGGAGACCAAAAGCGCCCAAACAAGGGACCGACTGACAGAATCTCCATCTGAATATCTATTCTTGGAGAGTGAAGATCTCGGATTGGATCGAGAAATGCAGACTCGTGAAGGGTTAGGTCTTCCGAGAGAAGAGAAAGACTGACTTGAAAAGATTCTGTATCTTCCAGTTTGGGAAAATTCAGCAGTGATTTTTTTATGACAGTTCCAACACTAAAGGCCTCATTTTTTTCCAAGATAATAGCAGCTGAATCAAGTTTTGTGTACCTGTAGTTTGGACTGGAGGTTCTGAAGTAATTCCACAGCTCTGTAGGTTGCACTAGCTTTTCAAAGGAGAGAGGAAAATACAATGCACCACTGTTATTGATGCTGGATAAACTTCCATAAATAATGCTTCGTTGCTTTATGGAAAAAGAGACTGGTATGTACAGGCAGATTCGACTATTGCATTGACCTCCTTGAACATCAGCAAGTCCAAGGCAACCAGCCATGCAAAGCTGCCCACTGGTAGACTTCCATATTCCTTCCGCTGCAACAGTCATGTTGTTAAGCCCAGATCTCTTTGCCGCAGTATACTCATTCTCTAGCGGGGAAACAGCTCTAAACACAGCTGAAACCGTTGCTGAACTGGCATTTCCTGCGGCATTTTTTTGTTCACACTTGATATCCTGCATAAAAATTTTAACACCTTTAAAGCTTCCATTTGATGCCCTAATCTCTTTATCTGCCACAAATGGACCCAGCTTGCTGCAAAAATCACCCGGGAAATTACATCTCCAGTTTGGCAAGACAGTGAAAGCTTGTTCCCGTGTAACTTCTTGGAGGATTTCACAAAACGAAGGACCTTTGTAAATGCTAATGCCACCATATATCAAGTTATCATTAGAAGGGTACGGATCACATGCTCTTGACACGATCTTTTCAGCTCCAAACTCATACGTTGCGGACTTTCCCAACTGTGATGAAATGTGAACCGTATCAAAGTACTTTGAGTTTGACTTTGAATTTAAGCTTCTTAATTCTCCTTGGATAACCCTATTTGTCAATGAGAAAGTCGCTGGATAATGAAGAATTAGTAGAATCTGATCATCTTCGGAAAGAGGAGGTTGGTCGTAATTTTCATCAGAAGCCTTCAACCACTCCCAGGGATTAGCAGAATCAGTCTCCCGGGACGGCAACATTGTACTCCCCAACAAACACATTACTCTTTCCCCACCATTTTTCTTGGATTCAGTGTAAATCCCTTGGAAGGAAACTGTGAGCTGAGAATGGCCGGGCCATATTTGAAATTTTGGATTTCCTTCGTACCTATAATCCGCAAAGCTACCGCCTTTAGTAATGCCCAAAACCATGACCCCACTAACACTCACTGACTTCTTGGATCGATGGGCACGATCAACATCCATAACCCAAAATGAAACCAAGTTCGATGACGTACGATTAATATCCTCCACCAAGCTCATTTCAAATTCTCTATCATCAAATGGGATAATTGGAGCATCACCCACCTCCTGCCTCCAGTCCCCATTGACAAAAAAGAGCTCAGTTTTTATGCTATAAATTCGATTATCTTCAGCTTTCAGTTCAGAAGCAGAAGAAAGAACAAAACGACATTCTTTCTTCACTTCATCGATCCGATCATAGCTGTAAGTAACAGGGCTTCCACTTCTTCCATTTGTAAATTCGAATCCTGGTTCTGATTGTTCTGAATAAGTGAGCCCCAAACTAAACAGCAACCCATAAACGCTCCAAACCACAACAACCAAACATGCAAACTTCATCATCTCAAACTTTCTACAATTCCTATCACTTTCTTCAAGGTTTCTCAGCCGCCCAGAGCCTTAAACTACTCAAATTTGAAAACCCAAGTCTTCAAATCTCAAATTTCTACTCAGTTTCCACAAATTTCATCCATCCACAGAGGTCAAGTCAATGAACAATATAACACAATATCCTTGAAAGGGTACTCAATCTTAAGCCTATACTTTCATGGATAGTGTTTGAATCCAACCGAAATTTTAAAGTAAGGAACACAAACCTGAATCTGTCCACTCTTGCATGGATTACTGTGAAGAAGATGAACCCCACTTGCCGAAACTTGGATCTAGAGAGAGAGAGAGAGAGAGAGAGAGAGAGAGAGCAAGCAGAGTTGATTGGATCTAGAGAGATGGAGAAAGTGAGACGGTTGAGTGAATCTGAAGCTGAACTGGTTTCTGGTGGAACACCAAACAGTGAATGTTTTCTCAAGTTTTTGGCTTTTCGTGATTTTTTTTTCCGCATGAACTTGAAGATATTTCTCTCTTTCTAGAAATAACGGTCAACTCCTTTAAACAAACGATTGAACTCCAGACGTTCCCTAAATTTTTTTTTTTTTTTTTTTTCTGACAAAACGATGGCGATTTTACATAGAATATTATTTTACATTTGTTACAAAAATCGCAACTGGCCTTTTATTACAAGGAATCTTAATGAAAAGAGTTTGGGCTAAGTTTATTTTAACAAAAAATCATGTTATAACTTTATTTAATGAAAAAGAATCAAAATTTAATGAAAAATCCTTAAATTTTAATAAAAATGATAAAAAAAACTTAATTTTTAATGAAAAAGACACAATTAAAAAAAAATAAAAATCTTACGCGCGTGCATGACCTTTACACTATTTATGAAATTAAAAGATATTATACTATTTATTGGTCCAATTCATAAATAGTGCCTAGTTTTTTGTCCACTTTCATAAGTAGTGTCTAGTTATTGATCATGTTTCATAAATAATGTATAGTATATGGTACAGTTTCATTAATAGTATCTCTTTCTTGGTTCGGTTTCATAAATAATGTTTAGTTATTGGTCCACTTTCATAAATAGTATCTAGTTATTGGCCATGTTTCATAAATATTGTTTAGTTCTTACTCTAGTTTCATAAATAGTGTATAGTACAGTTTCATATATAGTTTCCACCTATTGGTTTAGTTTTGGAAATAATGCCTAATTCTTGTTTTTGTTTCATAAATAGTGTATACTTATTGATCCTGTTTCATAAATAGTGTATACTTATTGGTCTAGTTTCATTAATAGTGTTTACTTATTTGTGAAATTTTATAAATAGTGTTTCATTCTTGATTCAGTTTCATAAGGTTTGAAACTTAGACTCTTTTTGGTCCTGTAAAAGCACCCATTGCGTCGAAAACGATGAACCCAAAAGTGACTCTTTAGATTAAAACCTTTAGAAGATTGTTCTCAGTAATTATATTTAAAAAGCTGTTTTCAATTACCAAATTAAAATTTCCTCACTTTTTTCATATACCTACACTAATAAATGTAGCTCTCGATCCAATTTCTTGAGTTTGAGTGTCATCTTGGAGAAACTTTTCCGTGTGCCCGTAACACAAATGCTATACCATGTGTTATTATATAAGTGGGGTGGAAAATTTTATTTTTTATGTTATTAATTTTTTAACATAAGAATCTCGCAACTTGTATGGATTGTATCATCCCGTATTCTGGGCACATGGAAAAGTTTTTCGTCCTCATGACTACTATTAGAAAACAACACCACAAAAATAAAACAAAAGAATGTAATTCAATTCAAAGTATTTTTCTTATTCTATTCAACAACAAAACAAACAAACAAACAAACAAACAAAAAACTACTAATAATGTAGCTGACGATGGGACAAAAGGTAGGAGAAAAAAAGTGGACTGTTTGAATTTGGTTTTTTTTTTTGGGGGGGGGGGGGTGAGGTATGCGCCCAACGCAATGGGATTTCTTAAGTTTTTTTTTAGTCTTTTGTCCTTGTTATTAAAATAAAGTTAGTTGGTGGTTTTTTATTAAAATGTAAAGATTTGAAGTCCTTTTCATTAATTTTTCTAATTGTGAAAATGTGTTGTGTTCTTTTATGACGGCATAAGTTCAAACTATGTCGGTAACTAACTAACGTTATCGCTTGACTCAAAAAAAAAATATTTATTACAAAAATCTATTATCTCTCTCTTTCCATTTTCCCACTACCATTTAAATTCGTTAAAAATGCATCTTCTATAATTCTTTTGTTATTTTTTAAGTAAGCTCATAGTTGCCAGTCAAAATTCTAATTAAGATATTAATATTAGTGCACTGACTATAACAAAAATGGTTTATACCAAAAGAGTAATATGACAGCTTGCTAACAAATATGATTTATACCAAAATTACAAGTTTAGGAAGATTGTAGAATTAAATCTAAAAAACACTACAAGTGGTGGACTGTCTTTGTTGTTAATCTTAAAACCACTACGTTCTGAGTTCAAACCCAGTTTATAGCAAGATTATTATTATTTTGCATTTTTTTAAGTGATGAAAAAAGATTAGGAAAAAATAAATAAAAGATTAACGCGTGTGTGGCTCAAACAAACTCTGAGTCGCGTGCATTGTTAGTTGGGAAAAAGGGCAAGTAAGATTGCAAGAGAAGCAAAAGTCACCATCTCTGGATTTATTCATCTACCTTACTATTTTGCTAATTTCTTCTTCTCTTGGAAAAGTTTATTGAGTTGCCTTTCTATTGGGTTAGTTTGTTCTGTTGTTTAAGATTGTATTCGATAAGTAACTAGATTCAGCGATGAAACAAATGGACATTATCCTTCAAATTTTATCTCGACCAATCTTACTATTTACGTAGAAATGAAAAAGGAAACCAAACTAGTCTATTTTTTCGTTCAACATACTGCTAAATCCAATCCATCCAATCTTTGACAGCAAACGAAGCGTCTAGAGATTTTTAGACAATGACTGAATAATTCCCACAAATCAGTGAACCATTCACGACTAAAAAATTTCAATTACTAATTTAAAAATAAAATTCAATCGATAATGTATTGAAAGTGGCATATGACTAAGGCAAGTAGATGATACTCAATAGTCTAATTACATGAAAGTCGTCTTTTATCCCACCTTCATAACTGAGACAAGTTAAAAATAGTTACTGCTTCACTACTCACTACTCACTTCTTCATCTCTTGGTACTCTGCCTCAGGAACTCCGTCTCCTCCGTCCTGTGAGCCTCCAGACGAAGAGTCACCACTGCCTCCGGAACCCTTCGACATATGCTCACCGATCTTGGACACGGCTTTGTTTGCAATGTCAAGCTTCGACTTAATCTCATCAGCACTGTCCCCTCCGATTGCCGTCCTCAAGTCAGCAACTGCATCCTCAATTTCTTTAGCGATTTCGCTCGGAACTTTGTCACGGTACTCGTTCAAACTCTTCTCAATGCTGTAGATGCTGGTGTCCGCGCTGTTTTTTATATCAACGAGAGCTTTCCTCTCCTGATCCTTTTGAGCATGAAGCTCGGCGTCCTTGATCATTCTCTGAATTTCCTCCTCCGTAGGCCCTGCGCTTGAGCGGATGGTAACCTGTTGCTCCTTACCAGTGGCCTTGTCCCTTGCAGAAACAGTTACTATACCGTTGGCATCAATGTCAAATGTAACTTCAATCTGAGGCAGTCCCCTCGGTGCTGGAGGGATGCCTTGAAGGTCAAACTCTCCGAGAAGCTTGTTGTCAGCAGCCATTTCTCTCTCCCCTTGTAGCACCTTGATACCGACCTGAGTTTGGTTGTCAGCAGCTGTCGAAAATACCTGCACAATTCCATAACAAAAGGTAAAATAAGATGCAAACAGTTCAGCAACACGCACAGTTAAGTAATTTATGTAAGTATAAACATTTTCTTCAAGACTGACCTGACTCTTCTTTGTTGGAATTGTAGTGTTTCTAGCAATCAGCTTGGCAAATATACCACCCAGTGTTTCAATACCAAGTGATAGAGGAGTAACATCAAGAAGAAGCAACTCCTTAACATCACCGCGAAGAATACCACCTTGGATGGCAGCTCCCAAAGCAACTGCCTCATCTGGATTGACTCCTTTGCTTGGGCTCTTTCCAAATATTTCTGCAACTACCTCTTGCACTTTAGGAACACGAGTCATTCCTCCAACAAGAAGGACCTCATCCACATCCTTAATAGACGTGTTGGCATCCCTCAAACAATTCTTGCACGGTACCTTTGTCCTCTCAATCAGGTGATTAACCAGGCTTTCAAACTTTGATCGGGTCAGCGTGATGTTCAGATGCTTAGCGCCCGAAGCATCAGCTGTGATGAACGGAAGGTTTATCTCAGTTTGAGATGAAGATGAAAGTTCAATCTTAGCTTTCTCAGCTGCCTCCCGAAGCCTCTGCAAGGCAAGCCTATCCTTTGTAAGTTCAATCCCCTCAGTTCTCTTGAATTCACTCACTAAGAAGTCCAGCAAAGCATTGTCGAAATCCTCTCCTCCCAAGAATGTATCACCATTTGTTGCTTTCACCTACATAAGAGAGAGTTCTTACTAGGTCTTCCAAAATAAAGGAAAAGAAGACAGGATCTAACAGTATGGCAAACCGTGCATACCTCAAAAACACCATTGGATATCTCCAGAATGGATACGTCAAATGTCCCACCACCAAGATCAAATACAGCAATTAGGCCTTCCTTGCTGGTCATACCATAGGAAAGAGCAGCAGCAGTTGGCTCGTTTATGATTCTCTCTACAGTTAGCCCTGCAATTCTTCCAGCATCCTTTGTGGCCTGTCTCTGAGCATCATTGAAATAAGCTGGAACCGTGATCACAGCTCTAGAAACAGACTTTCCAAGGTAAGCCTCAGCAGTTTCTTTCATCTTTGTCAGAACAAAAGCTCCAATCTGGCCTGGAGCGTACTGCTGTCCATTGACTTCAACCCATGCTTCTCCATTTGGAGCTTTGACAATCTTGTATGGAACCATCTTCATTTCCTTTTGTGTTTGGGCATCGTTAAAGTGTCTCCCAATCAGACGCTTGGTTCCAGAAACTGTGTTCGTTGGGTTTGTCACAGCCTGACGTTTTGCTGGAGTACCAACAAGAAGTTCTCCTTTCTGGTTCATGGCAACTACTGATGGTGTGGTCCGAGCTCCTTCAGAGTTCTCGATAACTTTGGGATTCTGTGATAATCCACAATTAATCATCAAATACAAAAACACGCAACCAAAAGAATACTTAAACAAGTAATTCAACCATCACAAATACGAGAACATAATGAAGGGTTACCTTGCCCTCCATCACCGCAACACATGAGTTGGTTGTGCCCAAATCGATCCCAATTATATCGTTCCCAGCAGGTCTAGAACTGTTTCAAGCAGAACATGTTATTAATAAGCTAAATAGACTGGGAAAAAATCCAAATTAAAAACCGAAAAAAAAATCTGCTATAGTAAAACTAAAAATCGACTATCCAAAATTCCAAATTACCTGAAGGGTCTTGCTAAGCTTGCCCACTTCTGGCTCAAAGGTGATGGCTTGGCAATGCTAGTAAACTTTTGCACCGAAAAAGAAAACAAACAAACAAACAAACAGATAATTAAGCTTCTTAATGTTAATTGTTCAATTCATATTGCGTTATCCTATAAAACTTCAAATCAATGAATTCCACAATGTAAAAAACACAAACCCCCAAAATACTATCTTTTTTCTTTAGAACTTAACAATAACTAGCAACTTATAAAAACCCATTTCATCAAAGTAGCACATATTTGTCAAAATGTAGTGTCAAGATACAATTAAGGTGAAGATCATACTAGTCTCTCGGCACGCGCTGACGCACACGTAAAACCAAAACCACATCTTGACCAACTGATCTTATTAATCAGACACTTTCAAGCTATACAATAATTTGTACAAAACAAAAAGAAGAATTCCATCAAATGTTCAATTAAATATAATTAAAAACCACTATTTTCAAACAGCCCTCTTTCACTGCCAAAATATCAATCATGTCAGACAACAGTATGAATTCAGAAAAAGACAGAAAATCAAATATCTACCAAATTTAAGAGCTCATAGCTATCAAACAACCCGAAACAAAAATCAATTTACAATTAAATAACCACAAGCGACAGAGAGAGATGAAATACATAGATATTCATCGTCCCAGAAAACGAAGTAAAAACCAAAAGATTGAAAATTTAATGAGAATGTGCGACGTACGGAACGGTAGGCGGAGAGGGAGGCCGACGCGACGTCGCTGCGCCGGAAGTTACGGAGCAAAGCAATGGCTGCCATGGCTCTGATTCGAGCAGCAACAGAGAAACAATGAGAGAGAAGGAGAGAGAGCGAGAAGAACAGAGGGTTTGCAGTGAGTGTTGGGATTGTGTAGGGTTTAGGGTTTTGCGGTATATATGAGGCGGAGAGATGAGCAGGGCCGGAAGGACGACGGCCCAAGAAAACTCGCTTTTCTTGCTGCGAAAGTTAATTGACTTGACCGAAAAGAAATTTAATAAATTAAATATTTTATATCAATAATCAGTATTACGGTCTAGTAGTATTCTCTTCACTTATAAGTAAGAGGTTTTAAGTTCGATTCTTACCCAAAAGTGAGTCTGAACCACATTATTGCTAGCCCATTGTGAGGCTAAGGGCTGGTTTGGTATTGCTGTGCTTTGAAAAAAAGATGCTTCTACTGTGATGTGAGAATAAGCAGCTGTGAAATAAAGCAGCAGAGTGTTTAGTAAATTTTTTTGTAAAAGTGCTTTTGAAAAAAAAAGCAGTATTATAGTGTTTGGTAAACTTTTATATAAAACAGATGTGAAAAAAAACCAGTTTTTCAAAGCTGGGTTTTGCAGCTTCTTATTTTTGGCTTTTTTCACCCAAAACTGTGAAAAAAAACTGAAGCTGAATGTTTACCAAACACAAAAACAGCTCCCAGCTTTTTTCATAATCACATCAGTACCAAACCAAGCCTAAGTCCACCCCCCTAACGCTATTTATTTACTAAAATTCACCAACTTTACATAGTTTAAGAGCTCGTTTGGATGTACTTTTAAAATGACTATAAACGTTTTTGATGAAAATATTTTTAGATACAATCCTTAGTAAAAATGTTAGTAAATCCTACAAAAGCACTTAAATTGCTTTATGGAAAAAGCAAATAACTGGTGTTTCTTGTAAAAAACACTTAAAGTGCTTTTGAAACCCCAAAACTTTTTCTCTAAAAACGTTTTCAATCATTTTAAAAGCACATCCAAAAAAGCTATTGCTCATTTTTCGTGTATTCAACAAAAACAACTGAAGATTTTGAAGATTTTCAATTACGAATTATGTAACCTCTAGATTCACTTGACAACTACTAAATATTATGAGTAGCCAAACACAAATTGGAGCCCCTTTTTTTCACCCTTGCTTATAAAAAAAGTTAAGCAGTCCCAAACTAGTACTTAGTAAGTTTCCTTTTATGGTTTATTACTCTTATCTCTCCGTCTTCTTCGTTAATTCCGTCGACCAAATCATAAAACTCACCCAAAGAATACCTAAACTGGTATTCGACTTATTGCATTCTGCCGCAAAATCCGAAGTTTTAATTTGTTCCACTTTTCCCACTATTTGCGTCTAAACCAAGAAATGTTTCTTAAATTCAAATAATTGTATAATATCTCTATAAAATCGAACTTCTCTTCAATATTAAATGTGATATGAGTTGCCAACACCAAAAGGAAGCAACAACTAAAAGCTTGGGTCTTTCGCTTTGTTTTGAGTTGGGTTATGAGAATCGTGGTGCGCTAAAGAGACAGAGAGATGCGGGGCCTCCTAAGTCACTTCAGTTCCCAAACAAAACACTTTCATTACATTTTTCTTTTGTCCTTCCATGTAATTTTGCAATAACATAAACTTTTCTTTAAAACTTTCATTAAAAAGTGGGTCGAATGATAAGATAATAGGATGGGCATAGTAGCACTCTAAAATGAAGGAGAGAATACAAAACTATGAGGATTTTTATCACAAAAAGTTCTTAAAATTAATCAAACTTTTCACTTTAGTTTGTCATTTACAAACAATTATTCAAAATAAGGGATGATAATTAGTCGAAGTGGTGGTGGGCAATGGTGGATTCAAGATTCTAACATCGGGTAATCCTAATCAAGGAACGTTAATCAAGGAACGTTAAGTGCTAGTCCGACGGCGAGCTGGGCGCCTATGCGCCTAAACATGGTCTAGGCAAAGGACTAGATGGATTTAATGAAACTTAGTATGTGTCATACAAGTAATTGCCTATTTACACTTACAAAAAAACTATACTTGTATTGAGAATTTGGGATTATTATTTTAATTATGTTTATTATCCGGCATATAACATACAAAAATATCACAATTATTGCTTTAGTATTTTAGTAAATTTGATGGTATGAGATTATCCAAATCGTACTACCGGTACGTCAATCCCCAGAAATCCCATATTTATTGTCCTTGATTAATCCTGCCTCTACCTTTTTATTGTCTTTGATTAATTCTGCCTCTTGGATTTTGATCATTTTATTATTTTATAATTTTTAAAATCTTGGATTGTTTTTTTTATCATTTCTTCAAATGAGTTTGTTTTATTTGCTCTGATTTGTATGTAAAGTCAAAAGGATTGGTGAAATTTTTTGTGTATGTAGTGGGGATTTCAGGTTTCAGTGTGTTTTTTTTTTTTGTATGAGTTTGCACTTGCTTTCTTTCCTTTCCTTTTTTTTTTCTTTTTGGGGATCTGTGGAAAAATAGTAGATCTGTTTTTGGCTTAAAATTTAATGAATTTAATTAACTATTGAAATTATTGAATTTGGTATTTCTATATTATATTGGAGTTACAATAGGTTTGTATGCTCTGTTCGGTATTGAGATTCGAGATGCAAACTGAAAAACTTATTTTAACATGTGGATTCACTTGCTTTGTTTGATTTATGAAATTGTGGTTACAATTTCCAAACCCATAGCGGAGCACGGGTATTCTTACTAATTCGTAACTATTTTATTTGTTACTATTCTTCCTTAATTTTTCATAGAATTAGAATTTTTTTTAAATAAATAATGATTTACTTCATAAATCACATGACGCTATATTATTAGACTTGTGAGACGACGTGTGGCACCAAATTTTGGTGACGGCACTTTCAGGGATTATTTGTAATAAAAAGTAAAGACTCAGAAGTATAAATACTGCCAGTTCATCGTGTCTCCTCACCTTAAAATGTTATTTACATCAAGTTCGGACTTGACAAAAAATAACGAGGGAAAAAGGAAACAAAAATAAGTGCCACCAAGCCTCTCAACATTTCTCATGAAATCTACCTTAAGCAAAACTGTTAATACCGTAACCAACCGCCTAACCACCGAAGCCGACAGAGTCACCGGAGTTAGGGCCGGAGTTAGGGCCGCCTACGTGCTCGTCCAAGAAGTGCATCGGTTTTTTGCAACATTTACTTCGGCTTCGAATGTGTCCACCTCCCCATTTTCATCGACATTATTTTCCTTTTCTTGTTGGCACGATGCTTCTCTGCTATCCTCAGTTTCCTCTTAGCATTCCGCATGGGATCAACGACAGCCATGCGCTTTTCTTCGTTTTTCCTCTTATCCCTTTTCGCCTTGAGATTCTTCCTGATGTCACCGTAAACTAGTACAAACTTTTGGGTGCCTAGTTTCTTTCGTATGCTGTCTGTAACTTCTTGTGCTAACTGCTTCGTATTTTCTGGTACACAAAGGAAAGCAACTTGTCAGATAGCAAATGAAAAACAATAGGAACATGGGGTTCAGCCAATATGCCGTAAATGAAACTAACTTCAGGTTTCCATGATACTAAACCCCTCGAGGATTCGACCAGAACACTACTTGAAACAATGGGGTAATTTGGTTTAGGTCACAGAATATTTTCAATGTTAAGATTGGGCCAATCAACATTTTGTGTTTTCCAAAGGAAAATGAAGATAAATTTTAGCAAGTGGTATAGGGGAAATGATCATTGCAGATATGACATGCAAAGAGCCCGAGCGCAAGCTATTTACTGAGGCATCGGAGCCAATAGCTTTCAGGATATGCAGGAGCAACTTTCTTACTTATATGCAACAAAACTGGGCATTGGGAAATAGCATGAGACAAAAAACTCACCATGAATCACTCTCCCAGAAAATCCTTCGCCAACTTTATACAACGGCAGCAGGATTTCATAGGCATAAAGCCGGCAGTCTTCCTCACTTAAATAGGAAGAAACTTTTTGAAAACTATCAAAGACAATTTTCATCTGCATAGAACAATCACAATTACATTATAAAATATTTGATCGGAACAGAAAACACATGCGAATGACAATATTAACCTTAGTAATAGCTATTGTAGAAAATATAGACAAATAAAAAATGCTTTTAGTATGCTAATAAACATTCCCAAATACCACAAAAAAAATTAGGAAATCAGTCCTTTTGTACAAACCTGAATTGCCTCCATTTGAAGGGCAGTCTTGCCCATTTTTTTGAGCAGGTTAGAGACGAGCAAGTATCGGATATTCTTAGAGGCGCTTTCATCATTTGGGTCGCATATACCAGAGGTAAGGGATAAAAACATGCTCCTTCCTTTTCTAGCATCGAGCAACTCAAAAGCTCGAAGAAAATGGGCTTGCTCATGCTGTTCAAGGTTGGACCAGAATTGATGTGGATCAGCACACTCTGTTTGTCCAATCAATGAATGCACATGACAAACACTGAACGCAAGATTTTCAGTAATCAGATTGCTGGCAGCATCATCATTGAGCTGTGTCTTCATTTGGCAGCAGAGAGATGCAGCTATCATGAAAAGTCTACTTGGTCTAATAAGATAGTAAATTCCAAATGGTTTTCCATCGTCTTTAGAGGCGGCTTTGGCAGCATCAAAGTACAAAGCTACAAGGCGACTGGAAATGCAGCGTAACCACATGTGTGGATGCAGAAGTAATTCACAAATTGCTGCCCATATATCCTAAATTTTTGCAAAAGAATGGACTTGTGAGAGAAAAAGATTACAACAACTTCAATGTCCAGAGAATAAGTTAAGATTTATATACCATGAGCATCTTTTATGATAATTTACGATGAATGATAGTATGTTTGACAAACTTGAACCATCCTGTTTCTGATTACCAAAATATGAATTTGCACTTCGTTTGAGGGACTTTTGATAAACCATATTAGATACCACCAACATTAATCACATGGAATATGACAGAAAATTAACATTTTCATGGTAAAAAATATCCGAAGACATTAAAACCATATTCTGAGATGGTTATATATGTATGAGAGATTATGTAGGATTTTATTTTTTCTTTCTTTCGAACTAAGGAGATTCTTAGATTTCTAAGTGACACTGACAAGATCCACAGGCAGCATAGACAGTCCAAGATTTCTCCTACATCTAGAAACTAAAAGTAATAGGATTATGATTGCTCCCACTATAGAATCTCTTTCTAGAAATGAAACTTAAGTGAATCTTGCTTTCTTTATGTAAAGAACATGGAAATGAAACTTATCAATTCACAGATCGCCTTCCCCCCCCCCCCTCTTCTAACTAAAAAAGAAAACAAAAAATAACAGGCAAGAACCTTGTGCAACAGTAACAGTGTATCACATACAACTATACCATATGAAAAATTTAGGGAAAAAAAATAAAATGAAATGTTTATGATGTTTGTCTAATAACATACCTCAAGATCCCTATCAAAGCATAAACTATGAAACTGATGCAGCATTTTCTCCAGCATAACTAACGAATAATATGCCTCCTTCCACAAAGGAATGCTAGTTTCATTAGAAAAGTCTAGTTGCTCATCAGTGACTGTATCAATGGCAGACAGTAAGATACTCTTAGTCGCTGGCAATATTCTGTTGATATGCTTAAGAAATTCTTTCTCCACGTCTTCAACTGGCAATAATTTATTGACATGCTTCTGAAATTCTTTATCCATGACTTCAACCAGAAGTCCCAAAACCTGCCAAATACACAAGGGCATTAAGCAAGAGCAATGCTGCACACCCCACCAAAAGTAGACTTACTGCTATCAGGATTGGGAGACAATCTCCTCAACTATAGGATTATAATGTTTGACGCTATAACATGAGATAGCACAGACAGATATAAGGATGATGCAGATCAAATTTTTGTACACAGTAATGAATCCCTTCCCTCAGCAAAACACATGCAGTCTTCATACAAAACCTCAATCAAATTGACGGTCATTTCTACATTCTTTTCCTACTCAACCAATTCCAGAAGGAAAAGTTTAAGAGAGCTTTGGGGTATAGGACAGAGAATTGGGCATATTGTATCAGTTAGGCTCCCCCCACACACCAACCACTTTCTTATAAAAGTTCTAGTAACATTAACATACTGAAATCTTGCCAGAGAAATACATCTGAAACAATAGTGTTTCAAGGTTACTATTCTAGATAACACCATTGCATATACCTATTCTGTGGTAATTAATTCAATAAACTAATTGTTCTCTACAATTGGCGGGGAATTAATATGATGAGACAGTTCACAGAAGAAGAGCAAGAAATCGTAGCATTCAAATGAGTAGACTAAATAACTTTAAATTTGAAAAGTTAACGTGAAAACTTTACCTGTGCTGCAGCGCTCCATAGTTGCTGCTTCCCACCCAAATACCAAGATAGGCTGTACTCAAGAATGGAACGAAATGAATGTGAGCTTATATAGCCAATGAGACATTTTATAGCAACTCCAGCCAAGGAACGAACTTCATTATCTTGATCATTAGCCAAGCAAATCACCAAATGGACAAAAAAGGTCTGTGACTGCTCATCTACAACGTTTTGTGGAAATTTAACAATAATTGTGTGGAGCATCTCAAGCACAGTTTTCCTTCCACTTGAATGCTCATACCTGCAACAAGAGTCAAGCCATCATCAAAACACAAATAAGGAAAGACAGTCTTCCAAGTCACTATTAGGCACTCACCTCAGATTTGACAGCAGAAAATCCAAATGTTGTTGCAAACGTTTTGTGGAGAGACGATATTCAAGTAAGAATTGCAATAAAATCTTGCTACACTTGTGACGAATTGGTTCTACTTGACTTGTTACCATCAAATTTGCAACTCTTGTTACAAGATCATATATCTCAGGAACAACTAGCCTGCGGTTAACAATTGCCTTTAGAAGTGAAAGAGCAACAAAGGAGGGATTCCTCTCGAGATCAACAAACAATGGAAGCTGAATTAGCAGATGTAGCTGGTCGGAGGAAAGAGTGATTTGGTGCCGCGCAGAAGTTCTGTTAACAACCTCAGGCATGACTCCATTTGAGAACTTCCAGTATTACCCGTACTTCCAGCAATACCAAACAGCGCGGCTTTAATACTATCTGCCTGAGATTCGATGGCAGGTAAAGGCAACCTGACCAGTCGAGTGAGGCATCTAAGTGATGCAGATACGACATCTTCATACTTGGATTTCAAGCACTTCCCTAACAGTAAGACAAAAGGATCCAACATCGACAACATTTGTACATCAGCTTTTCCCAATTTCACATTCTTTATGCGTTTCAGCAATATCCCAAGAGCAAAAACTGAAATAAGATGAGAACATACTGATTTACCACCTGAGACACCCCCCGAGGAAATATCTTTTCCAGTCATAACATTTCGCCGACGTCCATTTACCCATGTAATAAACAAATTCTCACTCTGACCATTTTCTTCTTTTATTCCATCTTCAATCAGGCCATGTATGAATATAAATAGGTCTGTCTGGTCAACAGTTGGATTGCATTCAATACCAGCACCTATGTGAGTTAACATACTTTCCAATTTTGTCTTGGTTTTTGGTGTCAAATGTTTCTCGAATTGAGCTGTAACAGGTGACAGAAGCTTCAACGCGTGGCTTTTGAATGTTATGCTTTGAGAAATCAATTTCAGGGTTTCAAAAGACTTCTGTTTCTTAGTTTCTTTCATCTTGGAAGCAATCTTTTCAACATCTTTTTCCTCAGCAACATCTCCAAGAACATCATTCTGTACAATATAAAGGAGATCTTCCAAACAATAGTCCAATTTTCCACTAATTGGAGTAACAAGAAACTTTGACAAAATAAAGTTTAGTGTGTAACCGAGCACATGTAACTCATATCCCCGTTTCAAGGTAGCTCGCAAAACCTTGACTATAAAATGCAAGTATTCCAGCCCCAACTCCTTCAAACAAGCAGCCAAAGCGGACCTAGCTTCATCACGGATGCTTTCCAATCGATTCTTCAAAAAATTTGAAACTCGATGAACAATGCTAGGCAGCTGTGAGTCCATTACATCTCCAGGAAGCAACCTTAATACTCTTAGTGCAGCAAGACTGATGTTAGCATTGACCTTTTCAGAATCACTCAGTAACTTTTGTATCTTAGGCAGCACGACTTTTTGAAGGCAAGTCTGTATTTCATTTATCGAAACAGAATTGCTACACTTACGCAAGATTGTAGAGCCAGTATCAGTGGTCCCTGTGTTGGAATCATTGTCCAAGGAGTCTTTGGCATCTGAAAAGTGAAACTTGTCCAAGATGGAACAGATTAGCCGCAGAAGGAGCTTTTGTTTATTAGGATTCTTGTTCATCTCATTAAAGCATCTCATCAACAACGAGTAGTATGAATTCCATTCCATGTGACTCGAAATCGAAGCAAGGGCCTCTATGCACATATTTTTGACATGTTCCCCTTTTCCTTCATGCTCCTCCAACAACATATTGAAAAAGAGGGGTACAAACACTTTCTTTGTGATGCCCTGGGAGTGATATCAGGAAGTAGACTTTAGGGACTGAGTTGAAAAAAATTACGAGAAGTGAAACAAATCAAGAAATTCTATTTTGAGAAGAAAAAAAGGAGAGGCAGAGAGAGACCTCTGGCATATAGCTGGCACTGATAACATTCCTAAAGCGTGTCAATGCCCTTGCTCTCCTATGTTTCTGCAGAAGCAAAAGTAAATATGTGAGAACAATTTTGTCACTCCTTTTCCAAACAATTGCTCTCTCTGAAATGATCAACGATTGGTTTACAAAAAGAATATTGCAAGTAAATATCACTTTTAAAAGTAATTTTTGTTTAAAAAGATGACCCATAAAGAGCCATAGTAGATATAATAAAAAACTCAACCTGTAGGTGAACGATATTGTTGAAAAAATCTATTTCAGCATCATCATCACAAAGATCCTTCAATGAACCCAGATTTGCCACTTCTGGTAGATTTTTCACCATTTGTCTTAGTAAATCAACCCATTCCTGAAACACACCAAATAACCATAAATAGTGTGAAATTTATTAAGCCATGTAGCTTGGAGTTGCAATAAATCATTATTCCTTTGCTTTGCTTTTTTCCCCCATTTTTGCCAGTAATTGGGCATTTTTATGAAATTTGAACACATTTTGTAAGACTACTTAAAGATTCCATTGGCAGCGACTCTCTGCCTAGCTGTAGTTAGAGATGCATATGCATAAGCAGGTATATGCAGATTCTGTTAGTGTATTTACAAGATTGTGTGATAGTGCAGAGTTGACGTTGTGTTTCCTTGCCATTTATATACCGTCAGACCTGAAGGAACACAAAAACAACTTAATACCTTTCTGACAGAAGTTCCTCTCTTCAAAGCATTGCCCATATGCTTCAAAAGAAACTTGTTTGTTATTCTCTGAATGCACGCTCTGGTCCAACAATGATCATCAGATGCCGACATCTTGTCAGGCATTTCACAGTGGTCTACTTGGCCAAGAATTAGGGCAGCAAATTCAACAAATGAGCGCAATGAATTGTATGCACTGTGCCTCAAGATTAATTCTTCAGATGACATGTCATAGACACAATGAGACAAAATGACTAATGCATGATCCTCTCGGACTGTATAGAAGATATCAACACTGATCTTTTCATAAGCATTGACAACTTTGTCATAATCAAGGCTACCCAGTTCAGTAACAGATGTTGCATTCAAGTCCTGTAACAGTTTTGCCTGCATTTGTTTGAAGAGTTACGAGAAAGTAAGGACAACATAAAAAATAACAAAGCCAATGCAACACTACTAAAAGAGAAAAAGGGTCACACGATACCACAAATTGAACAGAAGGGTCTGCTCTAGCAACAGCCTCAAGAAGATCACAAATAAAAACACGTTTATCTAGATCAGTAGAAGTAAGTAGTGGAGATACTGCATTAAGAATTTTATTTGTAATCTCATTCCCCAGTATTGGAACCATATCACGAATTACTTGCACTGCTTCAAAACAGAAATCTGCAAGATAAATAGAAGATTTTAAGTATTGCAGGCGGAAATTTTTCACTAAGTACAAAAGCTGAGATTTCCAAGATAGTACTACCTGAATTCTGAGCTCCATTCGCTAAAACTGGAAGCAAGATATCCAAAAATTTCCTGGCTGGCAAAGCATGTTCTATATACTTAGGTAAGAACTGAAAAATTCTTTTCTCTGTCTCTCCTGGGTGTTTATATAATTTCCTGGCACAATAGTAAGTGATGGAGACAACATATCAGATGACATCCTTTCCTTTCCACAAAATTCAACTGGAAAATGACCAGTGCAGAATATAAATGAAAGATGAGGTACAAGGGTAATGCAGAAATCCAAATAGGGGCAAGGCTATCAATTCCTAAATACTATATGGGATCTTTAAAAAGGGAGACGATTTGAATCAACTTGAAGCACTGACTAGGCCACAAAGGTATTCCAAATTATAAGATCAAGGACGCAATCACACTTAACAGCAAGAGATGATCACCTGAGTTTATCTTGTGAAAGTTAAACAAATATTCCAAATGCAGACTGGGAAATGCTATCGTTTATCTAACTTCATTTTAGTACTAATAGATAATACATGGTGGTAGCCAACTCAGCATCAGCTAGGCAGCAAGACAGTAAATATGCCTACTTCAGACAAGGATCCCAAGTCCAATCAACAAAAGTGCAACAAACTATTTGAAAAGATAGAACCTTTTGATTATGAGAAGAGAGCATCCCAAAGGTATTATGCATATTTGATATGTAAAAAGTTTTGGGCACACCTTACAACGGGACTCACTGTCTGTACTCAGCCCACAATATATTTCACGGGCATTTAACAACCAAACAATGTCATTCGAGTTTCCATGTTGTTTTTAATCATCTTAACTGAATTCTGAAGCAAAAATGCGTGCAGAGTCAATGTAATAAGGGTCATAACTCTTAAGATGATATATGCATTAATAAAAAAAATAGCAAATCAGCTGCCTATGAACTAGCATCCGTACTAGCTCCAAACTAAGGTGGCTTTAGAAAATGGATTCGCACAAGCAACAGAGAAAATGTGTCATTGCAAGCACATCAAGAAGGCGGCAAGTCCATTTTATACTTTTGTATGTGTGTGTGTGTTTCCATGTACACATAAAATGAACCATATTACCTCTTGGCAGCATTATTACTCTGAAAAAGACAATGCAGGCTATCGATGAGTGCTTCAAGGTTTGGGAGTATAACTCTTTTCACAGCACTATCTTCATCACCCCACTCGTGATCAAGAGTCAACAGGTTATCAACAAACTTGAGAACACAAGATACAATAGCTTCGGATGTTGATGTGACCGTTAGAATTGAGAGTATATCAGGAACAAGTTTTTGTTCCCTGCAAAGTAGTGGTACAAGTTTTTGGCTTCTAGACAGCGCAAGAAAACAAGAGAAGAGCGAACTAGGTTTCTGGCCGCTAGATCCTTCCTGCTTGAAACGATCAATTAAAGGCTTGACTGACACAAAGAATAGGTCCCAGAACTCACTACTAAAATCATGATCTTCATACTTGTTGAGAACGAAGGAGACAATTTTAAGGCATAAAGACCTGAGATCCCTAAGCTGCCCCAAAGCTGGGGAGATCTGCAGATAGACCATAAATTTCTCCGTAAATTGCAATAAATTTGTTGACTCAAATTGCAGAAAGAAAACAAAAGTAGGTTTCATGTGCCAAGTAACATAAAATTAACTTCCTGGAAAATGGAACAAAACCGAGAAGGCAACCAGCAAAAAAAATTTACATATATCTTGCCATAAGAAAAACTAGTACATTGTGGTAACAAAAGATGTTTCTTTCGTGTTTTGATCAAATCTAAGCACATGCATGTACGTACAAACACTACAGAAAAAGCAAGGACTACAAAAGGACAAATATGAACCAACCAAAATGCTCTTAGAAGTGTTATAAGTGTTCGCAAGGCAGTACTTTTTCAGTCTCTACAATTTGTTGATAAAATCGAATATAGATAGGCTTCTATATATGATATGAAATTTAACAAAGCCGCACACAGCATCTCAGCATAACTGGAATTTTAGGAGTCAAAACGCTTGAACCTCATTATGACAAATATCAGATCACTTCAGTTACGGCCCTGAAGAACGTACTAATAAAAAATATTATCTTGTCACAAACATGGTATGAGTATTAGGCATATATACAATTTTAATAACATTAAGTAATTTTCTTTGGTTTCAGACTAAAATAATGGAAGCAGATATCTATTAACTATACAACACAGTAAACATTCCACTCGAGACTTGGCATCCAGTAAAGTAATACCAGTTTGTGCATCATTGGACAATATTGTGTCACAAAATAAATAAATAAAATTGTGGTAGTATCAAGATAGTGGACATCATCTGCACGACCTGACACAAATCATAATTCACAAACTATAGCTTTGTTTTATCTGAAAATAGATGGACACATGAAGTATTACCGAAACATTAGTCTCCACTGCACTATCTTTTCCAAGCAAAGTACGGTTCACATCCAGATTATTTTCCAATGAAGATCCCTTGGCCTTCCCCGCCTCTTTGGTCTTTGCCACCTCAATACTTAAACTGCAGCTTTCTAATAACCGGGCGACGCATCCCATAAGAAAATCAAGAAAGGGACCAACACGCAATATATCAAAAACTCCAAGGATATCTTCGATCACATGCAGAAAACCAGATCTTTTCTTCCAAGACAGGGCTGATATACTGCTAACAGTGAAATATTTTAGGAAATGCGATGCTTGAAATTCGGCCAGAGAAACATTTGGCAAAGTCCAAAACCAGTTTGCAGCACCATCACTTCCCATTGGAACAATTTGCAAAGGCTTTACCAACAATACAAAGAAAAGAGGAAGTTCTTCAACATCAACTTGAGATATGAAACCAAGAACTGACTTCCGATGATTTACTCCAGAATGCTGACACAAACAATAGAGAAAGAAAGCAAGTCATACATGGTAATATAAACCGCAACAATGATGCAAATGAAAAAAGAAATACAATGATGCAGCACATACAAACTCGCACACGTGCATTGATCTGCTGGAAATATTCACAGTCCAACTACATGGAATTGACAAAAGAAATATGGAGCTTTCGGAATTGTTATATCATACATAATACCAGTCCACACAAAGCCCCTTCTATGCATATCCTCTATTTTATAGAGGAATCCTACATATAATAACTATAACTAAATGAAAATATACATGCAAGCAATCTACAGACAACGTTGAGAACTACAGGTCCAGAATGATTAAGAATAAATCATATTGAAGGTTCAAACATACCTTCTGATTAGCATGTTTCTTCAACTTGCGGACTTTGGGCATCAGAAGACGGATAACTATAGGCACAAGGTAAGCTCTGTGATGTTCCTCAATTAGATTAGACTCTCTGGATAAACTCCACGTTGTTAATTCCTCTCTCAAATTATGAAAGCTGGCTAGGTTTTTCAATTGTTGACAGTATGGAAGCAGGAAATCATCTTTCCATATGAACAGACAATCAAGAACCTTTGTTTGTATTTCATCATCATTTTCATCTAAAAGTCTGACAAACAGGAAAATAAATAAATAAATAATCAATAGGCCAACCAAAGGACGACAAATGGAGAGTATATATCTGGAATTTGTACCAACCTAATTTGTAAAACCTCTTTAAGGAACTGATTTTGATAGAAGGACTTAAGGTTGTGCATCAGTTTCAGCAGGTTTAACCATTCTTTAAGGACACCTTTCCACTCTTTGCCTCTACAAACACTTGGATTGAAAGACCCGATGTTGCAGCTACAAGATAAAGACAAATGTGCACACAAAATATTTTGACTAAAGCCTGTTCAAGTTCACAATATCCAAGAGCAAGTATTCACTAACTAACACAATTCCAAGTGAGAATTACCTTCTAAAGTCTTCGCAACTGTAGCCCATAAACTTCAAAAACAAAGGTAAAATCTGGCGAGACTTAGATTCAATTAGGGTCGGAATTCTTTGTAAAGACTGGAGCAATGAAGATAACACGGCCGCAGAAGGTGTACTAGTAGACGTGGACTTAACACATGAATCAAAGTGTCCGAGCAGGCCTGCAATACAAAAAGAGGATAAAGTTGAGCATACAAGAGAACAACTCGATTGCCATTCAGAGTTGAATATAACTGATGGGTAGAAGTCATCCTTGAAAACCGGGTTACTAAAGAGTGTCCATGTGTTTATACTCTACACAATAAACATCTTAAAGATACCTAGGGGATGTATATTCCAACACACCTCCTAAGCGGCAAGGCTAGTCAGCTCTCCCCATCCAAACAGGGCGAGTGCCACCAAACACAACTCATCCTTCCTGTCTACCTATGATAATACAATGTCAAACCCATGGGTAGAACTGCTCCATGAAATCCAGCTTATAAAGAAAGGGTTATCGTGTGTTTGTATACCATACATCCCAAATGTACCCTTGCAATATTACAAAGGAATCATGTCCAACCAATACAATGAAAACTTATAGGTTGGATATTGGTCAAAAAAGAAAAACAGAGAGAAACTGAAGTAACTTATTACCAATATTGCACAACCTGCTTATGAGTACCATAAACCTTCCAGACATATTTTTTTTAATTACCTGGACAATGAGATTTTCCTAAATTTATAAAGGTTGTCTGGAACACACAAAAATTCAGAAACCTAACTAAATGACCATAGGATAATTAGAGTCTGGATATTCATTCTGGATATAAAATATAATAGGAAATATCAAGTTGTTACATACCAATTGACTTGTTGGTCGTCTTAGAATTTACTTTGTCAATTTGATCAAAGGATGCTTGAAATCTCGATTGGCATTGTTCAAAATAACTAACAAAATTTTCCCACACAAGTCCAATGTTTTGGCTAATCAGAACTGCAAGGCACTCTGATGCAGGATTCCAAAGGTAACTAAACCGGTTATGGAAGATACCAATCATCCCATTCAAAACAAGGGGCAGATAAGCTTCAGCTATTCTACCAGCAGAGAGGGCCATCTGTATTCTAGAAATCAAAAGAGTAACTTTCCTGCTGGTAGAAATTGAAAGAGGAGTTGACTCAATGGAGAGAAGGAGCGCAAGAACCTGACATTTGAAGCAAAATCAGTATGGAAGTTCATAAACAGAATATTGATTCCAACAAGAATAGCATAAAGAAAGAGAAGCATACATTTAAGCCTTGTTTATCCACATGACAAGTTGGAAAAACTTCGGTTCTCATTTTCTTTGCAACTGGGTAATCCTCTGTGAAAGTATTGCAATTTAGAGTTTCAAAGTGGCACAATATTCGAAGAGTTGAAGCGCGAATCTCTCTGTCTGACTGGCATAAATTATCAGCAAATATGTCTAAAGCCTCTACAGCCATATCTGCTTTTAATTCTGGATGATATGTTCTAGACTCGGTGTCTCCTTCCATCATAGACCTACTATTTGTAATAGCAAGAGGTCATGTAATGCATGATTTTATACAGAACTGATTTATAACTCAATACCATACTTAACTTTTAAAAAGGGGAAAAATCTACATTACAGTAATAGTCATACCCGTACACTGAATCCAAAAAATCAGCAACAGCAACCAACACTTGCGCACATGATTTGTGTCTTTTTCCAAGATGCAAAAATCTGCTTGTTTCGTCAAGCTCAGATTTTTTACCACGTATCATTTTATAATAGGAATTCAGGGTAGCACCAATTAGGCTCTCCCAAGTGTGCTTAGGAAAACCTGCAACATTGTCTGCCAGAGTAACACATGAACAAAATGTCAAGGGCTAGAAATGGTCCAGGCATATCTGTAAACATTCCCTAAATACTTCACAAACATACTTAACTCAACCAAACCAACAGATCAAACCATCAGTCATTCAGACAAAGAATACACGGTGAAAATAATAAAATACTGATAAAAATAACAGTGCATTCTAATACACCATCTAAACACAGATTCTCCTAATACTCAAGTTTAAAAAACAATATATATATTACACTTGAAACAGAAAGGAACAGGGCATCAAAGAATTATCAAGCAACAAACTAATAATAAAAGATGAGGTAGTGTACCAGCTTCAATCATCAGAATTTGATCATATGCATCTATTAAATCCTTTAACAAGGATAAATCATTTTCAGATTCTACTACTTGGGGAAAGCAGTTGATGGTTCCCCACAGCAGAGCCAAGTCAACTTCAAGAATTATTGTGGATGATGAGTCCCCATTTCCAATACCCTTTAAAACCCCAACCCAGTTGTTGATAGTCCCACGCAGAAAATCTTGAATCCTTGAAACTCTTTCAGGTGTTTCATCTAAGAAGGTCAAGCTTTGGATTTCCGTTTGCTGTTTTTCACAGAAGGTGAGTAACAAATAAATAACATCTTCCTGGGAAGTTTCTATTAAATCATTCATCGCCCTGAAAATTCAATTAAAAATGTTAAAAGCCAGATAATAGATATAATACAGAAACACTCTAGAGAAAGTTAAAATATCAATCTTACCTTAAAATGTAAGCTCTGAAGATATTTACTATGCAAACATCCTCTTTTAATAATTCTCGAACAAAACCCAACAAGCTGTAGCACCAAGCTTTATATGTCAAATAAACTAATCCAATAAAAAGAGAAAAACAGAAAAGCAACTCCAGAAACCCAAAGACTTTGTTCGAGGCAGTACCTTGGGTTCTTTAGATCAAATACAGGAGCCCACTGCAATGAACAGCTAGAGATGGTTGACATATCACTTAAATTGTGTAGTCCCCTAAGAATACAGAGCATTAACTCTAAAAGCTTATCAACAACATCAGATGAAGACTCCTCTGCCATTGTAATGCCCTTAGGCATGACCAACCCCACAATTTCAATCATATGTTGGTAATCTGTCAAATGTGGCAGTACAAAGAACAGACAAACACATCATTACTTTCTTCTCTTTTTTTTTTGCTAAAGAGAATTATATTAGGAGAGGGAAAAAGCAAACAGAGAGGCTGGTCCAGCATACCAGACCAAACACCCCAGCCACAACAAGGAACAGAAAACCAACTAATGAAAACAATCGACAGCCTAAAACATAAACACATCATTACTAAAGAGCAAGGAATGCTTGACAGTAAAATAAAGGACTCGGCAAACAAAAACATTCATATCACTCACCAGAAACCCTTTGGCCATTCTTAACTTGCACAGTAGAAACAAGCAACGACAACAGGCGGCTTAAGCGTTCAACACCTCCATTAATCACACAGTCAGTTATTTCCCGATATAAGCAATTGAACATTAAGTTCAATTCCTTGGAGTCCAAATCCACACATAAACTTTCTAACGCAGACTTTAAGACTTCAAGAACAGTCTCTGAACCTGCAGGAGAAAGAGAGAGGGTCAAAGACAGGCAAAACCAATATAACTCCCAAATATATAGTTTATGGTCCAATAATATTTTATAAACATACTGCTGCATTATACATAACATACAAATTAAAGAGAGAACAACAAAGTCAATGTACAAATGAAAAATTAAACCCAAAAAAACATATAATTTAGAATTTACTACCAACATCATTTTTCTCTTAAACCACACAATCATTCTCGCATAACTTTAATTATTATTTGCACACCACACTTTAGCAAGCCATAATTGCTAACATACTCAGGTAGTCTTGGATTAGTATCAGATGAACCTTGACCGACAACACGGTATTCATGCATCGACTGTGAATATAGAAAAAAAAATACACTTTTACCATAAACAATAATTAATAGCAAAATGATATAAAAATAGGTAAAAGCATAGTGAACAAGCTTTCCACTGACTCTACATGAGTGAGCTTTAAAATCCATCTACCATAGACATTCAATAACATCCAAAAATATATCTAATCAATTTTTCAAGACATCTAAAATAAACATACATAAAGCCTTTGTTTAGAGAAAAACTTGCCTTCGTTGAATTGTTCACCAATGCAAAGTATCAAGTCGTCCATCAGGAAATGCAACATTCTCTCAGCTCTAGAATGGAACCTTGATGAGGTTCCTCTCATGACAAAATACAGTAATTTACTGACTCCCTCTTTTCTGGTATCAGTTGATTTCTTCACAACTTCAAACATGATCTTTCTGACACCTGTGCCAATTCAATGAGGACAAAAATTTATCAATTCCCATTAAAGGTACTTACTTCAAGTCTTCAATAGAACACTAGAATATATGGCAATATGGCCAACAATTTACTGTTATCTAAACTAAAATTACATAACCAGCTACAAGTGCTTAGAATCATAAAATATTAATTAAGACATAAAGGAAGTCAGTTTTCCATCAGATGTATGTAGTGCATATCAAGTTAGAAACTACAGATTATTATTCATTAATCACAGTATATCACAAATTTGATTGTATCATGGGAAAAACACAAACATCTAGATGATAATTGTCACCACATTAAACATGAGATGAAGAGTCAGTTAAAACACATAGAATTGCATTGTTTTGAAGTAAAAAACAGGTCCTTCAATCATTCAAAATAAATAAGCTATAAAGCATGCTTCAAGGGGACCTGTATAGAGATAATCCTACTTTTCCCATCAAAAAATCCAACAGGCTAAAAGTGAAAACATAAAATATGCAAGGTTGTACCTTCTTTAAGTTGTTCAAAAGGTGCATTTCTCAGCAAGAATGAGACCGCTTCTGCCATAAATTTTTGGATGTGATATTTTGGATAGTACCTCAATTTTACAGTAACCCTGCAAAATGCATATATATATTATATACATATATTTATATATATCATAAGAACTGAGATTATGAGAGGAAAGAGAGTAAATATGCATCCTCACATGAAATTGCAATGTAACAATCACTCATTCGTACAAATTGGACCAAAGGGAACTCAATACCAAAATTTTCAAAACTCAAAGAAAACACTAACTAAGCCTGATTAACATATTTTTCAAATAATCTGAAATTTCTCAAAGAAATATTTTCACCATCAAATTCTGAAAGTTAAAATGGACATATTTTTGTCTACAATAAATGCACATGGTTTGCTTCAACGTAATAATCAAAGTAACTAAATGATACAGGAACTTACTTTAGTATATGCTTAATCTTTTGTACAAGATATTTTTGCAAGTACATCATAATAGATGACCAAGATGTAAAGATCTGCACAAAAACACCGTACACTATGAGTTCATGTCGAAATTAAAATGCCAACCTGTAAACCCAATAAAAATAAAAATTAAATAACAATCCTTAAAATAAATTGGACCTGCTCAATGATCTCTGGCTCCCTATCTGCACCACTTTCTAGAAGAGACACTAGAGAATCAGCAATCCTCGGCAAGAAACTGGAAGAAGAAGAAGAAGAAGAAGAAAAACCACGTAGAGTGACCATAAATACATGCATCAAAAGCAAAAGGCATGATGGGATTCTACAGTACACTGGAGCAAGTCGCCTCGAATATTCAATACCAATTAAGGAAGTAAAAGCAACAAACAACCAGCAGCTACAAGTTAAATTCATTCTAAAGGATGACGAAACTCACGGGATAAAGTCCTCCAGGATATCTCTCGACAGAGCGGCGATTAACCTGCCCAAGAACACAGCTTATTGAGAAAGAAAACAAAAATCTCCAATCTCGGAAAACATTAAATTCCAACTAAACAATCAAATATCTCAAAAGGGTTGGCGTCAAATAAGCTAACATACGTGAGAATGGGCTCAAGCGACAGCCTTGCATCCATCTGTAATCTCGAAACGAGTTCTGAGATTATGGTTTCCTTGTGCAACAGAATCAAAGGCAACGTTTGGACCAACGGCGTCATTTGCTCATAGAAAGAGATGAAATCCTCAGCCGTGTTCAGTTCCTACAACCCCGAACCAGCAAAACAATCATGAAACCAAAAACCCAGAAAGAAAAAAATACATATACATACACACATATATACATATGGAGCAAAATCTTAAGCAAGTTTGACGACTTACCCTCCATTCGACGAGGCAGTCTCGGAAAAAAGTAGAGCCCTCATGCGGCTCCGACTTAATTTTATCGAGGCTTCGGAAAACATCGATTTCGACATCATCAAGTCTCTCAGAGAAATTCTTGAACTGCAAATACAAAACCCAGCAAATAAAATTACCAAAAAAAGAATTTGAAGCATGAAATAAGACGAACAAAGAGCAGGAAGCTTCAAACGGCGGCGTGAGAAAGAGGGCTTACTACGAAACGGCGGCGTCCGGGGGATTTGTTGAGGGACTTGACGGCCTGAGCTTGGGAGAGAGTGGCCATGGTGGACTGAGAAAGCGGGTGGAGAAGAAGGGGGAGGCTTTTGGTTCGGGGAGGCTGCTCGCCTCTCTTCTTCTTGTAGTTCAGCAGCGCTGCTGGAGAATCAGACCTTCGACTTTTGGAATGGGGTTTAACAACCCGAGAAGGAGGCTATTGGGTTTTGGGTCGGGGCAGGTCGGTTTTTGAATTTTTGTTTTTAATTTTTTACTGGATCGTGGATCGGCTTCAAAATGTAAGTCGGGCAATTGGGCTCAAGAATTGCAAAACTCATTTTCAGCCCACACCTAAAAGTGGGGCGACTGCTGAGCCCCAGTTTGCGGGACTGTCCGATCAGACAATTTCTTGCCCGACCGTTCGCCCGAGTTTGATCTAACATCATGCTGACGTTAGCATGACGTCAGTCGCGATCAAAACCCAAATCTGCCGCAGCCTATCATTGACTCCCACCCATCATTATTAGCCAAACAGAAAATGTAGCAGAAACAGAATTTAGAGAGAGAAAAAGAGGGGGGAGAGAGAGACTTACGCGAACACAGAACTATGGAGATAGGTCTCATTGAAGCCTCACTATGAGGGTGAGGTGGTGGTGGGGTGAGGAGGAGGGTGCCATGGTGCCATGGTGGTGAGGGGATTCGAAGCATAATTATACAATAGCTACGTACAAAGCATTAAAAGTACACATGCATGCGGTAAGAATGAATGAATGATAAAAAAACCATATTCCTTTTAACATTGTGAAATATCGAGCTTTCTAGATGGGGTATATATACGAATGCTTTTGGTGGCCTTCATTTAGTTTATTACTAATATGACCTCAACCATTTTAATTTTTTTTACAGCCCTCTCACTCGAACATGGCCAGCCCTGACCAGGGCTAGCAGTGAGATCGTCCAGGGCCTAAAAATTCGAGGAGCACCAAAAATTGATAGGGTAGTATATTCATATATATTTCCATAAGCATATAAATTTTGAAACCTTGGTTAAATCAACAAGAACTTTAGGCAGGAGCGGTGGTGTTTCGCTGCTTACTTAACAAGACGATGTCGTTTTCGAAACCTGATGTGTTCATTTTTTTTTTCCAATCTTTTACGATATTCTGTTTGGGATCAAAGCAAGGCACGTTATGCTTTTCCTTTCATGCCTTTCCCCTCACCATTTAACATCGGGATGTAATTTGCACAACAAACTAAAATACAAATAAGTTAAAACAATAAATTAAAAATATGGTGCCCAACACCGGGATGTATTTTAATAAAACAATAAATTAGAAATATGGTGCCCAACATATATTAATGTTCTTCCTCAACCCTTTTGTCGTTTCTTTTAACTTCCCTAGGCAGCGGCCATAAGCCATGCCTCTCAATTTCTCTTATTTTATTTATAAAGAAATATAATTCTTGAAAAAATAAATTAGAAATATGGTGCCCAACATCTATTAATTTTCTTCCTCAACCCTTTTGTCGTTTCTTTTAACTTCCCTGGGCAGCGGCCATAAGCCATGCATCTCAATTTCTCTTATTTTATTTATAAAGAAATATAATTCTTGAAAAAATAATTTTACAGTAACAATCACATATGATTGTAGGTCGGAGAAAATTGCAAAGGCATAGGGAGGAAGAGGTAGAATTGGAGAAGGATTTTGATGACAAATTTACCTAGCTAATGAATTTCAAAAAAAATTACGAAAAAAATGTCATTAGTTCTACAAGATTTAGGGGTAGAAATGTGAACGATGATGAGAGATTCCATGTCGAGAGGCATAGCTGTTGCGACCCGTGGAGGAAGTGAAAGAGATAAAAGTTAAAGTTTGAGAAAGAACAAAGATAGGTGGTGGGACTCAGAATTTTAATTATTTTTAATTATCTCATATATTGCTTATACATTTCAATTAAAAACTCAAAAAATGATATATTTTTTTAGTCACATATTGACAAAGTAAGTAAATAAGAAAAAACACCTCACAGTTTTATATAAAAGCACTCCAAAATTTCGAGGGGAAACATCTACTTGTAAGTCAAGATTTTTTGGTTCCCTTCTCTCAAACCAAATGTTGTGTCATCATTAGAAATAAGCACGTTAATCAACCCTTAAATAATAATCCAATCATCAACTTCCATGTCATTTAGTTTACCATATTTTGTCTACAAATTTAGTCTTCTTAACATTACCCTTTCTAAATTATTAAATTTGGTGTGCTTTTCTAAGTGTTATTTTATTGAAGTCTTACCTGTAAAAACAAATCATTTTTATTATATGGAGTTAGGGCATATTTTTTGACATTATCCTGGGCCTCAAAAATCTCAGGACCGGCCCTGCGAACATATAGGGCTAGTTTGGTATTGCTGTGTTTTTTAACAAAAGCTGCTACTGGTGTGTTAAGAATAAACATATGTAAAATAAAGCAATTGAGTGTTTGGTAAACATTTTTTGTAAAATAAAGCAATTGAGTGTTTGGTAAACATTTTTTGTAAAATTGCTTTTAACGAAAAAAAAATAGTATTGAAGTGCTTGGTAAATTTTATATAAACTATTGTGACTATAGTAAATGAATACAAATGATATGATGTTGGAGGTGACATAATAATTTATTTTTTTATATCTATAAACTTTATCTTCTCTCTTTACATAAACCCTCTTCATCTTCTCTCCCTCAATAAGATTATCATGAAATTGAAAGATATGGATAATAAAATTGATGATGAGGATCAATCTTAGATTTTGTTGTTCTTTAGCTCCTTGGTAAGCGAATTTTGTGGAAATCTTGTGGCCAAACTAAACTCAAGTCCAAACGAGTTATTATGTCAGGAGCAGCTAATATATCTTGACTATTAGGTTGATTTTATATGCAGGCTTTATACCTCTTACACTTATTATTTAGTCATGATTTTATATTAAATTGGTGAGTTTAATGTGTCTTGTGTGAATTTTTTGTAGAAAAGATGATTTGTGAATAAAGCAGGGAATTGGAAGCTTAAATTAGAGAAACATGAAGAATCATCGAGTGGGATGTGAACTGATGGGCTGGATCAAAGAATGGAATAGTACATCATATAGAAAATTGGATCATTAAAGGAAGCCCAATTTAATTAGGCGGTGCAAAGCATTCGGTGTTGTTTTTCCCAAAAGGGGATTGGGTTTTTGAGAGTCCAAAAGGCGGTGGATTAGTTAAGAAGAGCAGGGGAAGTTAAAAGGAAAAAAGAGCAGATATAAAAAGGGAGTAGAACCCAGCCGCAAGGGAGGTGAGACATTCAGGAGGATTCTCATAACCTCAGGGATAGACATCGGCCCTCGAAAGGAAGAAATTGTGGATTAAAGCATTGCCGAGAAATCGAGATTGAAGTTTTGGTTGCTTCTTTCCATGTCATCGAATTCATCCATGTTTGTTATTAGTTTGATCATGAACTAAGTCTTTTTGCTAGGACTAGGGTGTACTTTTATCATGAACATCTAATTCTCGTTATTATATATTAATCTCAGTTATTTTCCATGTTGAGTAATTGTTATTGTGCTTCGTTGTTATCAAATAACTGGCCGTTATTTGTATGAAGAACTAAATTGTGACTGATAGGTTAAGTTTAGTAGATTGTTTCTCATAACAATTACCATGAATTACATAATTGAGTAGACATACTGGTTATGATTTGTGTAGTATCGTGTAATTATCTATTGAGCATAAAGGTTTCAGCTATCTATATCTGTGGCTAGACTTAGCATGGGTAGATGGTTAGAAACACAATTAGTATATTCTGACAGGAAATATTGACGAATCAAGGGATAATTGCTAGCAACTTGAGAATAATTTGATGTTATATGAATAACGGGATTATATGGGATTGAGAATGAAGAACCTAATGTCCTAGTGCTTCCATATATTAATCTTTTATAATCCATTCAATTTTACTTCGTGGTCAATCAAATGTTATTTTTACTTTGGGTAAAAGACTGTTTACTACCCTCATATTTCATGGTTTTCAACATTTAGTACATCAAGTTTCTTTCGTCTCAGAGTCATACCTAAATTGTAAATTTTGGGACAGTCTCATACATCCGTTAGTCAAACTGTTAAATCTGCCGTTAATTGTGACGTGGCGCCCATGTGGACAATGACTGGGCGCCACGTGTCAGCCACGTTTTTTTTTTGTTCTTCTTTCTTATTCTTCTTCTTCTTCTTCTTCTTCTTACTCGGACTGCAACTTTTTTTTTTCTTCCTCATTCTTCCTTCCCCTTCTTCTCCTTCTTCCTTCTCCATTCTCCCTTCTCCTTCTCCTTCTTCTTCCTCCAAATCTGGGGAAGTTTTTTTTTTTTTATTCTTCTTCTTCCTCCTTCCTCCTTCTTCCTTCTTTCTTCTCCTTCCTTCTTCTTCCTTCTTCCTTCTTCTTCCTCCGAATCTGCCCAGATTCGGTTTTTTCTTTTTCTTTTTTTTCTTCTTCTTTCTTCTTTTTCCTCCTTCTTCCTTCCCCTTCTCCTTCTTCTTCTTCTTCTTCCTCCAAATCTAGGGAAGTTTTTTTTTCTCCTTCTTCTTTCTCCTTCCTCCTTCTTCCTTCTTCCTTCTTCTTCTTCTTCCTCCGAATCTGCCCATATTCGGCTTTTTTTTTCTTCTTTGTTCTTCTTTCTTCTTCTTCTTCTTCTTCCTCCGACTGCAACTTTTTTTTTTCTTCTTTCTCCTTCTTCCTCCTTCTTCCTTCTTTTTCTTCTTCTTCCTTCCTCCTTCTTCCTTCCCCTTCTTCTCATTCTTCCTTCTTCCTTCTTCTTCATCTTCCTCAAAAAAAAAAAAAAAAAAAAAAAACCTTCATCTTCCCAGATTCGGAGGAAGAAGAAAGAAGAAGGAGAAGAAAGGGAAGGAAGAAGGAGGAAGGGGGAAGGAAGAAGAAAAAAAAAAACCGAATCTGGGCAGATTCGGAGGAATAAGAAGAAGAAGAGGAAGGAAGAAGGAGGAAGGAGAAGGAAGAAGGAAGGAGGAAGGAGGAGGAAGAAGGAAAAAAAAAAAAAACTTCCCCAGATTCGGAGGAAGAAGAAGGAGAAGGAGAAGGGAGAAGGAAGAAGAAGGAAGAAGGAAGAAGGAGAAAAAGGAAGAAGGAAGAAGGAGAAGAAGGAAGAAGGAAGAATGAGGAAGGAAGAAGGAGAAGGAAGAAGAAAAAAAAA